GGATTGTGGTGTTTCTAGGGCCACCTTTAAGTACCAGATCTGTGTTCTAGGTAACTCAATAGAGGGGTGATGAAAGATGGAAACAGTAAGAAATGGTTCTATTAGTACCATCCACAACTTTTCATAATGGAAACTGAAAATGTGTAATGAACTGAACTGAACTGGGGAGCTGGTGGAAATGGGGCTTAAAGAAGTATTTCACTGTTGTTAAGCCTTTTAATAAAACTAAGATGTCTCTGCAGTAAATAGCTGTAAGTGCTTTTGAAATTGGTGCTACAGGACCACAGAAAACAGAGGAAAAGGATGCTTTTGCTCAAAAGAGAGAGAACCTAGAACTACCAGAATGCACTGCACTGCACCAGACCAATAAAAACTTGGGCTGGTGGGTGATGTAATGTGGAACCGCCCATTGGAAACAATGGTGGCTGGCTGGCAAAAAACCTGAATGCCTAAAACATGTTTCCTAGTAACAGAATCTTGGTTTATATTTGATCAACGCTGCTGAGTTTTACCATTTGATCTCAGTTTTTTCAGCCTCTGTTTTCACTTTGCAGGAAACAGCATGGTGCCCACTTGCTGTTCACAAAGTCTTGCTATTACAGCTAAACATGGCCCTAAACTATATTTTAAAAACATTTTAGGCAAAAAATAAGCAATACAGTAACACAGTCCTGATATATATCTGTTTAAGAGTACTGTCTGTAGTGGAAATGCTAAACAGACCCAGGGTCTAGGTACACGTCTGTAGGGGTTACTTTTGGTTCCCCCCTTTTGGTTCTACCAAAAGTTTGTGGTGGAAACAGGGCTTTTGGCTATTGATATTTCAGTGCCATGGTTGGGCCCACAGTTTCTAACTTGCACAAACTCCAGTCAGACAAATAATTAATAAGTCAGGCAGACTAAACACCCCCTGCCCCTGTACTCACTGTGCCACTAGGGGATAGAGAGCAGGTAGGGCAGGTTAACAAGGGAGGTGGCATCCACCCTTACCAACCCCTGAAATGAGACATGAGACATACTGGTTCTGAACAGCCTGTGGGAAGAATGAACATGTAATAGTGTGTCCATTCTTGATTAAAAGCTCTGTCTTCATTGTCTGCTTTTCTCTCTCTTTAGAGCATGCCATGCTTCTTTCCTCTGACTCACTTATTTCTCAGACTGTTGTCTCTTGTCTTATCTCTCCCATGTGTCTGTCACTCACCAGGTGCTTTTCATGATGCTAAGGTATGCCTCCTCACATCCTCTCTCCTACTGTGACCCAGATATCATTCCCCCTTCATGCATGTTCTTCCAATTTCTCTAAATGCACCTTGAGGAGCAAGGAGGGAGGAGGGTTCTGGAGGAGCTTAGAGCAAGGAAACACAAGTGTATCCTACTGTACGTGGAAGTCTTTTATCGAGTGGTGTGAGGTATACATTTTGCACTTCCACATGCGGCACAGTAACTGATGTTACATAAAGGCCTTGGCACACCAATCTGACATGAGTGTTGACTGGGGCTGACTGTTGGGTGTCTCACATTGCCTATTTCTTGGCCAAAAAGTTGCCCTTGAACACATCGCAGCGGGCGTCAAACTCGCACGTTCTGTGCCTATGTGAGAGAAAATAATTCTGTATCTGTCATTCAAAAAGGGAAGCCGGAAGACTGACAGGATGGACTCTAGATGCTAGTTAGCCAGTTAGCACATTAACAACACAACCCATTGTTGACAGAACAAAGGATATTTACTGTGTGCCAGTAAAAAAAACCACGTTTCCGCTTAAGAGCTCAATGACTATTAAAAAATTGTACCTAATATCACAAGTTTGTTGACTTTTTTTGTCACATCTTCTGATTTACCTCTTGAATGGGCACTGCCATCTCTGACACCAATTCAAAATGCTGAATCGGCAGCTGACATTGTTTATATTGTAATTTCTGCTACTCCAACCCAGTTTCACTCAGAAGCCTTTAAAATCTGGCGCTTGGTCAGTGACTTCTGGCATCAGTTACAGACAAAAAAAGCCCTCCTTTTACGTCGGCATGATAAGCAGCCAGTTGCTGTTACTCATTAATGGTGTGCAGCAATGTCAGGGGGACAGGCAGCGGTATAACAACAAAAGTTAAGAACCGCAGAAATCTGTACAGGGCTGGCGGGAGGGGCAGTGGACTGATCCAACAACCACCGACTTTCACCCGGGAGGCTGGTGTTTGCCCCCTGAAAGACTGCAAAGCCAAACTGTGTTCTTTTTTTCCTAAACCCAACCACATGCATGTGTTGGCTAAACATAACTACATGCATTTGTTGATGAAGGAAAAAATGCCAATTTGTAATGTTGTACTGACACAGTGTGTTTATTTTGAAAGAGACTGTTGGGAACAACATTTTGGATGTCATGCAGAGGCACCATTTATGTTGGGAACAACAATATTAGGCCTCACCAAGCGGCACCATTAACGTAGGGAACAATTCTGGGCCTCAAGGGGGGACATTATCAATGTTGTAAATTATACTGGTGATACTGTAAAAGAGGGAAATAATTAATAATTATTAATAATGATTATTGATTATGTTAAATAATATGACTTAATTTACATTAAATCACCTCGTGGGACACCATTCCTGAAATGTTAAAATCAGTTAAAGATACCAGTCTCATAAAATTCACTTAACTATCAATTTGGAATTTTTATTAATAATTAAATTAATAACAGTAACCAAATTTAATAGTAAAGCCTGTGGTATTTCGGAGTTCTTGATGCAGCAGAGGTTGGCTATTCATTCACCCTTGTGCAACATTAAACAGACAGCAGGTATGATTCCAAAGAATTATATTTATTCATAAAGTGAGCAAAGCAAAACCCAAAACACACAAATTCTAACTAACTAACTAACTAACTATATATACAAGCTTGGTGAGTATATGTGTGTGTGTGTGTGTGTGTGTGTGTGTATGTGTGTGCGTGTGCGAGAGAGAGAGAGAGAGAAAGACAAAGGCGGGTGTAGTAATCAAAGTGGTGTTTGGCCTACAAAACAAAATGGCAGACAACAAAGAACTACAAGACGGCCGAGTCAAAGCTGGCTTCCGATCAGGGGAAGTGTTTGTCTGATGGTGTGGTGTGGTCAGGAAAAAGACAAAGGAAGAGAAGCTGGAACTTTGAGTTGCCTGTTTGGGTACAGCTCTGTTGACAGCCTATTTGTAAATGAGTCTGTGTGAAGGTGATATGTGTTGCAAAGGCTCTGGATTAGTACAGAGGATGTTTAGCTGCATGCAAAACGTTGTCTGTGAACAGCATTAGCAAACTTACATCACCTAGCTTAACTAACCAATGACCTAACTGCAACCAATCACAACAATAACTCACTAACAGCGTTAAATCACAATCAACAAGTTAAAACAGTCTTGTTTACCCTGTACAGCTGTGATAAAGCTATGCCCAGTTGTTACATTACCGATCCTTGAATGGATGGAAGAAAGAGTCACATGGTGGTGTGCTGCTTTTGTTAGCTGGCAGAGGAAGGCTGGAAAGAGCTGTGGTTCCAGATGCAGATCCGAGGCAGGTGGTCACTCGGGGTCTTTGCAGAGTTAGACTCTGGGGTTCTCCTTGTCGCTGGAAAGTTAATTGCAAACCTTGTGCTTGCATACTAATTTCTCTGGTTCAGGTTTGAGAGCCCAGAAGGCTCTGTCTGGGCCAGCCAAAGGCCCAGGAGCCAGAGGTGGTGTGAGCTGGTTGACAGCTCACGAACAAGACAAAGACTGTCTGAAGGGAGCAGACCTTCTACAGTTGGCTGGTGACCACACAGAGTCACATGTCACAGTAAAAGTCCTGTCCAATGAAATTTTAGACTTGTCTCTCAGAGAGGTGTGAGTTGGGGACCCACTGTGGAGAAGGGTTTCAAATACCTGTCCTCTGTGAAGAACAAAGACCATCTCTCACCATATCAGATGGCAAGAGGAGAAACCTTCACAGGTCCAGTTAAGATTTTAACCTTTGACAAATCATCTGTGGTTCAGTGAATCCCAACAAGACTGTATGTAAACCTTACATTTCCTTTGAAAACGGAAGTGTATTTTGAAAACAGACAATGTGTGTAACAGGCAGAACTTGAAAGTCAACAACCAACACACCCAGGGTACATTGCATGTCATATCTCAACGTGAAAAGGTCCATGACCAAACATCAATATATGACGAGGTTGGAGTGAGAATGTGTTGTACAAATGCAGTCTTGACCAAACCAACCTAAATGATGGTTCAAGTATGTGAAAACATTGTTTCATATAATTAAGTGTTCTATAACATGTAATGTGAAGTTGGAGCAGGGAAAAGTTGGAGACAACTGGTCTATTACCCCGTTTCTACTTATTTTCTAAGAACTCCATATCTCATTTCCATTACCAAATATCTGTCAGCGCTTTCCTGCTAATTGGATACTTTTGGCTGCAAACTTTTCTAATCAGGAGATTTTTTAAAAAAAATCATTACTTTAAAAAGGACTTACATTAACCAGCAGCCAGCCTTGACATTAACAAGCTTAATGTTTATGAGTGAATTCCCCTGACATTTCCAAACTTTTAAAGGAGACTATCTCTTGTGACTCAAAGCTTCTGGCCCCATGAATGACGCAGCATTTTAAAAACCTCCTGTGAAAAGAAGCCGCTCCTCGCGAGATAAAGACAATCAGAAAAAAATAGATAATTCAACTTTGGGAATGCTGTTTTGTAGCCCCAAGCATGGCAGCCATCCAAGTTTTCTGGGCATTCAATCCATAATTTATATCCCTTCAATTTGTATCTCTGCAAAATTAATTGGCCACAAACCAAATGAGAGCACAGAGGGGGACAGGGGTTAGATCAGGGTGAATTTGACGTGAGACAGATTGATTTATTATTTTCTAAGCTTTTTGAGGATTAAAGCAATTAAGAAAAATCAAAATTTGAGCTCTGTTGCCATGAACACTGGAGTAAACACACACACACACACACACACACACACAGTGATGATAATGTGCTACTGTACCTGCTGTGAGATGGAGTATCCAATGACGGTGTCTCCCTGAGGGACGTTCCAGGTCACCATGGCTGAGTGCGCCCTCAGCTGGGTCACTGAGACATTCACCGGAGCTGCTGGCACAGCTGTAAACACAATACAGACATTTGTATTCTTAGTTGTTAGGGATGGTCAGTAACACACTTTGGAGTCTCGCATCTAGTTTGAGCACTCGTGTCATGGTGCAGCAAAAAATAATTGACTCAAACTCTACTACAGTTCATGGAAAATACACAATATGTGCAATTATTAAGCACAAAAGTATGTGGACATGCCAACATTACACCCTAATAAGCATCTGCTGCTATAACAGCTTCCACTATTCTGGTCCCAGGCTTTCCACCAGATGTTGGAACTGCTAACAGTTTTACATATATTCCTGTAATATAATGACTTTGTTTTGGATTAAAGGAAAAGTTTGACATTTTGGGGAGAGTAGCTGCATAACCCCCTCTGAAAACCATAAACAATATTTTTTAACATTTCTGTTATTGTGCAGATAAACAAACCCCTGATTCCAGTCTTTATGCTAAACTAAGCTAACCGGCTGCTAGCTAGCTATATATTTACCACCAGGGTTATGGAACAACGAAATACAAGAAATACCAGTGCATATTTATAATACAAAATATTACTAACTTTATGTTGTTAAAGTTACAGTTTAAATTGGTGGTATTTTGAATACAGTTACTGTCTTTAAAAAATAGATTATGTAAAGGGATTACTTTTTTGTTTTTGTTTTATTTGCTCTAATGCTGTGTCCTATCTGAATGTGATGTACGTGAGCTGAACTTTTGTTGGACCCCCTGTTTCTTTTCTTTTTTTTTTTTGTAATATATTTTATTCAGGAACATTACTTGAGTACATACAGGTAAACTCTTCGACAAAAAATAAATTAGCTAGTAATGCTCCTTTTTTCATAAACAAGACAAACACAACCAACAACAACAAAGAAACACACCTCAGACAAATACACGAAACAAAAAACAGCTGGGTGCTGGACCAAAAGGTAAGTATGAAATAAAAGATAAAGTCCGCACACCAGAAGCTGCTCCTTGAACAATTTATCAGACAATGTCTGATGAAAGGCAGGAGCCCGAAACGTAACATATATATAATAAATTGTTCAAGGAGCAGCTTCTGGTGTGCGGACTTCAGCTAAATAGAGGTTTCCATAACCCATGGAAAATGTCTTGGCTACCCTTGGCTCTAGCACAGAGTATCTCCATTGGCAATACCCTAAATATTTCCCAGTACCACTGAGAAATTGTAGGAGGATAATCCATGATCCAATTAAAAAGTACACATTTTCTGGCCAAAAAAAACAAACATTTTTTTAAGAAGCAAATATAAGAAGTATTAAGAGACAGATTCTTATCAGGCAGATTAAGGAGAAACAGACCAGGGGCCTCATTTATAAAAGAGTGCTTAGGATTCATACTAAAAGTTGACGTGAGCCCAAAAGCTGAAAATGAAGTGCGCCAAAAAATAATCTGATTTATAAAACCGTGCACACACACACTTGAACGCAATGTTCTCTTTATAAATCACAGACCTCCTGGAGTTGTGCGCACCCAGATCCGCCTCATATTCCGCCCTCTACACGCCCTAGTTCAACCATAAATGGTCATGCAAATCACCTCATGAATGCGATCTGCATATAAATAAGCCGGCATGCAAGTGTTCTCTCGTTGTGAGTCACGGCGACAGGTGTGAGAAACAAACCAAAAAACAGAATTTCTCAGAGACAGAGCTAGAGACCCTTTAAAGGGAAGTGGAGGACTGAAGAAAGATTTTATTTGGTGGCCACAGCAGCGGGATCACTAATAAAAGAAAGTGAAAAAAAGTGGCAACACATCAACGCTGCTGATGCTGTCAGCTGTGTCTGTGGGACTGCATGGACAGGGACAGAAAAAAAAAAAGTGGTCTGATCTAAAGGTAGACCAAATATTTCTACTCCTTTACCAACATGTAGTTAATGTGTTGCTTTTAAATTTGAGGATGTTTGACATTGATGTGCGACATAAAGAATCACATATATTAAAGGTGGAGGCAAAAAGGAATATGTGCCAGTGCCATCTTGCGCAATTACGCACGAGGGTCACCGCAGTATTTATATGTTTATGGCAATTAGTCTGATCAGACACCCAGCCTGAATTACAGCATGAACCAGTGTTATCCCTGTCCCAAAATACAACGTGTAATCTGAAATACAATTCAAAGATGAAAGTGTAATAGGCGAACACGTTTCTTCATGCAGGTTTTGTCATGAACAGCACATGTCTAAGTAGGGCTGATGAAATGAGTGTAACGGTTGTGCTTAATGGCTGTATTTCGAGACATGATAAATGCACTGGAAATATTTAGCTAAATAAATAAATATATTCCATGCAGTTGTGCCGTCCTCTCCCCCTCCTGCGCTCACAGAGTGGACAATTAGACATTAGAGGCAGTGCGGATTAAATAGGTATTTAGAAAGAATTTCAATTCAGGATTTGAGTTGGATTTTACAGCGTTTTTATGAAACAATTATCACTCAATCCAAGTGCAAAATAAGGCTGCTGGATTTAATTCCAATGATAACGTGGATCTAAGGTGGATATAGCGTGACATTAAATTTGTGTGAGAAATCAAAAAAAATATGACTCCACTTCTCCACCTCGCCGTCTGCATCGCCAAAAAAAATCCAAAATGTGAGCACGCATGACTCAGAGTTTGCTTACAGGTGCGCACATTCTCCTGCCAAGTTTATTTTTATAAATCACAACCTTTGCGTGGGAAGTGGCGTACGCCACTTTCAAGCCCCATTTTGTGCATAAGCAAGCTTTATAAATGAGGCCCCTGGTGTTTTTCCAATCCTGGTTTCTAAAATCAAATTTAATTCTTTGGACACTGATGACCAGAATTCAGAAATAATGGGACATTGCCACAGACAGTGTATGTAAGTACCAGTCTCTATTTTGCATTTCTGGCAAAAAAGGGAATGACTGGAATCAAATTTATTAAGAAGGTAGGGTGTTCTATGTTGTCTATGCAACATTTTATATTGAGTTTCCATAAATTTGTTGCAGCCATATGTATCATGACATGCAAGGATGCACTCAGTCCAGTCGTCTGCTTCATACTTAATCCCCAGATCTCTCTCCGAGACTGTCTGAATGTGATTAACATTATGTTCATTCCAGGAATCAAGTGTGTGACAAAAATATGAAATAAACCCTTTAGTTTTAGTGAACTCTCTAAGACACTTATCGAGGAGACTGACCACTGGACCACCAGAAGGTAGCAAAATATCTGTTTGAATAAAATGACGGCTCTGTAAAAAAACAAAAAAATATGTGTGTGGTATACCAAACTGAGCTTGAATCTGTGTAAAAGACATTAATGAGTTCTCTGAGTATAGGTCACCAATAACTCCAATGCCCTTACTGTGCCAAAGAGAAAAAATCTTGCTATTAATGCCTGGGGGAAAAGCTTTATTCCCAATTAAAGGAGTTAAGGAAGATGAAAACCCCTTCCTCCCTATATAAGCCACCATCTCTCTCCATACCTTTACAGTATTATATATAACTGGGTTATTTCTGAGGTTGGTTGTTATCTGCTTTTTGTTCACATGTTAACAAACTAAGAAGATTTAAAGGTAGACAACACCATTCATCCATATGACCCTGTACTCCTTTAAGATAATTATGTATCCAGTCAGATATGACAGGCCAGGCCCAGCTATAAAACAAAAAATTAGGGAGTCCTAATCCCCCTCTGTCTATGGGAAGCTCTAATGTCTTCATTTTTAATCTGGGTCTTTTACCACGCCAAATAAATTTACTGAGATCTTTCTGTATACTCTTAACTATCTGTTTCGTGATCCATAAAGGTAGCATTTGCATCGGATGAAGTAGGAGTGGAAGAATGTTCATCTTGATTAAATTTACTCTTCCAATCCACGAAACAGGAAGATCCATCCACCTTTCTTTTAATATCACTCAATTAAGCTTGAACAGATCTTTCAGATTAGTTATTCCTAGATAAGTAAGTCCTGATGTAGACCATCTGAAAGAGAAGTTTATAATACAGGGTGGATCAGTAACACCCCCTAGTGGCATTGCAACTGACTTGTCTAAATTAACCTTATAACCTGACTCCAGCCCGAATGACTCAATTATCGACAAAATGGCAGGGATCGATCTTCCTGAATTCAAAACAAAAAGTAAAACATCATCAGCATATAATGCTATTTTAAGACCATTCTGCCCCAGCTTAATACCAGATATATCAGGGCTGTTTCTAATTGCCTCTGCAAATGGTTCAATGGCTGCAGCAAATAGCGAGGGGTGAGAGGGGATCCCCTTGGCGTGTGGATCTACTCAACCGAAAAGATGGAGATAGGGTACCATTAACCATTACCTTAGCACTAGAATAATATGTAAGTTTGATCCATTTAATAAAAACTTCACCCATACCAAGTTTTTCCAGGACTTTGTAAAGATAGGGCCATTCTATCCTGTCGAATGCCTTTTCGGCATCGAGTGAGATAACTAGTCCTTCACTCTGTGTTTCATTTGCATGCTGGATAACATTTAGTAATTTACGCATATTTGTATATGATAATCTATTTTTTATGAATCCGGTCTGATCTGTATTAATTATTTTAGGCAACAGCATCTCCAATCTTCTTGCCAGAAGTTTGGAGAGCAGTTTACTGTCCACATTTATTAAGCTGATCGGCCTGTATGAACCGCATTGATCAGCGGGCCTATCTTTCTTAAGAATGAGGGTAATATTAGCTGTATATAAAGTTGGAGGGAGATATCCCCTTTCAAAAGATTCTGTATACATGCGCAGAAGTGGATCTGTTACCAGTTTAGCAAACTTCTTGTAAAATTCTGGTCCATAGCCATCGGGTCCTGGAGCTTTACTGTTTTGTAGGGATTGGATAGTTTCAAATAGTTCTTCTTTAGTTACTGGTCTACATAACACATCTCTATCATCCTGTTTCAATGAAACCAAATTCACCTGTTCTAAAAAACTACCTACCTCTTCTGAAGTACTATCAAACGCTGAAGTATATAGTTTTTTTGTAGAATTC